AGCAACCCTGCTAATAGCCTATCGAGGCGACCTAATTACGATAGCGAGACCTAACACATTAATTCTTTGTTTCTAACCCTATAGCATAAGATTGCTATAGCCCGTATTATTAATAAGCAAGCGTAGGATAAGCGGCTTACCGGACTCCGCGACGGCTTAAAGCATATTAATACTCTTACTATATTAATAGTACGTATTAAGGCAAGGGCTAAGGACACAGACAGGAGAAGTTATAATAACTCTATAGTCGATATCGCTATATATAGTAACAGCGATTAAAGCACTAATACAGTTAATCCGGCTACTAGTACTATTAGATATATATAATGCGTACCTCGTTTAATAGCGAGGGTGATATTAAATAACCTTGCAAATAGGGATAGTTAATCGTTTATAGATAAGCTATTACGGGCCTAGTAGAGGGACGCCTTTGCTGCTAAACGTATCGATAGGCTTATAAGTAGGCGAAAGACTCGATCTAGTAAGAGTAATAATTAGTTGATCGATAATAAAGGTTATTTGAAGTTTAAGGGCAGATACTATGTCCCCGCTAAACATTCGATCCGATAAGAACTTCTTAAGCGACACTATAATAGTAAGCTTACCGGTTACTATAGTATAGAGAGGTCGTACGAGCTACTATCGTATATATACTACTAGCTAAATAGTAAGCGGGATATAAAGGACTACGTAAACACGTATGCTGTATATTAACGTATTAAGGCACTAAAGCATTAGCCTTTTAGCGAGTTGTCCTCTTTACTAATCCCTTATAAGCTATTTATAGAGCTTATAATAGACTTTATTATAGGCCTTCTACCTGCTAAGCGTAGGGATAGCAAGGACGTATATAATGCTATCCTTGTTATAGTAGATCGATTTACTAAAGGCGCTCGATACATCCCGGCGCGCAAGGATTAGACTGCTATTAATATAGTAGAGGCGCTATAGACTAATATCTTCTATACCTATTAGGGAACCCCTAAAGGGATAGTCTCCGATAGGGGCTCGACATTTATATCGTACTATTAGAGCGAAATATGCCTACAGCTAAGACTAAAGCATCGGCTATTAATAGCCTTCTATCTATAGACTAACGGTTAAATAGAGAGGCAGAATGCTACCCTATAGCAGTACCTACGCAGCTATATTAACGAGAATCCTAACGACTAGGTTAACCTCCTATAACTAGCTGAATTCGTATATAATAACAGTATGCATTTATTAACCAAGGTATTACTATATATAGCTATAATAGGCTAGAACGCTGCTATACTATAAGACCCTCTATCGCTCGAGGCCGAGCGTAAGGAAAGGGAAGCGTATCAAGTACTAACCCCTAAAACACTAGCGGCTATTAAGAGGGTTTAAAAGATACGAGAGATTTACGCTAAGATAGCTAACAAACTAGCAAAGGCCTAGGCCTATTAGAAGGCCTACTATAATAAACACTATACGCTAATAACCTTTAAGCAAGGCGATATAGTTATACTAAGCACTAAGAACCTCCGTATCCGCAAACACCTATTACCTAATAGCAAAACAAGGCCTAAGCTTGCACTAAGATACATTAGCCTATTCCGAATCCGAGAACCGAAGGGCAATAGCTAGGCCTATTAGTTATAGCTCCTACTATACTATACTATCTATAACACCTTCTATATCTCCCTCCTTAAACTATACTACTACCGCGGAGACTCTAATAAAGAAGCCCCTACTAAACATAAAGAAATACTAGCCGACGGTAAAGAGCTATAGTCTATAGAACGCATCCTAAAGTACCGAACTAGGTAGGGCAAGAAGGAATACCTATTAAGGTAGCAAGGCTATTTACCTAAATAGGACTCGTAGGAGGCTAAAGATTCCTTTAAGGATATAGCTAAGTTGTTAGATAAGTATTAGACTAGTGTAAAGAACAAGAAGAAGGCTAAGGGCCTATAATGTCGCCTAGGAATAATACTACCCCTAGGGTGCTATTAGCTAACTAATCGGAAGCCGACAACCTAGGATAATAAGACTATACTACTATAGTAGACGCGCACCGAGTGCTAACAAACGCGCTATAATGCGCTAACTATTCGCTGCTCTTTTAGGAAACTACCTTTTTATTAGCGTACCCTATAAGACCCTTCTCTTAGCGCCTCCTTATTCTATCGAAGATCTCGAGGCCTAGGCGGTCGACGAGGATACGCGCACGCGTACGCGTAATTAGTAATAATAATAGTAACGACGGCGTCGCGCTTATACTAAAGGACGGCGCGGCCGGCGCGGCTATATTAGTAACGGTGTTACAGAGTATATTGCTATTTAAGAAAGGAAGGATATAGCTATATTAGTAATAGTATTACCGAGTTGTTATTAGTTAAAGAAGGAAATTAGAAGAAGGTAAAGTTAGCGCTAAGACGACTAGCGCCGCTATTATTAATATTACTTGCTATTATCGCTACGCCTATAGATACAACCTTACCTATACTACGAGCCGGAGCGTACTATACCGGCTAAGTTAAAAGAATAGCTATATTAAAGGTTTAATTAAAACTTTAATTAAAACTTTAAGCCGCCTAAAAGATTAAGCGACTAATAGACTAACTAAAGGCAAAAACTATAGAGCTAAGCTAGCCGGGGTCGATCTTACGGATAATAGGTTACTCCTCGATCTTTCCGACCCTTTAAGCGAGGCAAACCTTAACTATTATACTTATAATAGCCTTTACCTATAGAAACTAGAAGAACTAAGTTTTTTGAAAAGATATAATTAGTTAACACTTAAAGGCTACCAAACCTAACTAATTAGGGCTAGTAAAACTACGATAGTAAATAATAGTCCTCGTAATAACGAGAATAATAACCCTCGGAAGCGGACAAACCCTCGGAAGCGGACATTTCTAGGTCTTTTAGAGTAGACGTAGAGAACTCGGAACGATATTACTTAGAACGGAGGCAGTACTGCAATACCTCGTACGCCTACCTATTATAGTAGGGAAGGCGCGCTCGTATTATAATTAGTCGATAGTCCTTAATTCTCGTAGTTATATATTACTTTATTATATATAAGGATAGCGCAGTTAGAGTTAGACATTGTGCTAGAAGGTAAGGTTTGATATAGTTATATAATCGGTAGTTGTGCGTTTAATTTAGCGCGGACTAAGCGGCTTATTAGACCTACTAAGTTAGTAGCAATAGAGGTTGAGACTAGAACAAAGACCGGCTACGAGGGCGCGGCCTTTAGAAGGGAAGCGTATATTAGGACTAAAGAGGTTATACGTAATTAGTATATAACCGGGCTCGAGTAAAGCTAGGGTCTCGATACCTTAGGTAGGGCTTAGCGCTTAGTAGTAGGCTAACTTGCCTACCTTCCTCCCTCTTCTTCTAGATCTCTATCGAATACTACCTATACCTACTACTACCCTATCTACCTACTAATATACCCTTCTTATAGTTATAAAGAAGGCTATATACTTATTAAGTGAAGGCCCCGAAGAAATCGGCTATAGTAATACGAGGAGCTTGCGACGAGTTATTACGGAAGTCGATTTCGAGGGGACTAAGCGCAGTTACAATTAGACGGACTTAGTATAACGTAGCAGGTATATATATGTCTCAGAAGGTGCGGTGTTCTATAGTATAATAGGGGCTTTAGTATTTAGAGCGGACCTAATACAAAATCTAGCGCAGCCTCTTATTAGTCGAAACAAGGCGAAAATATATAACCTCTACCTTAGGTTGCACTTCCGCCCTCCGAAGTATACTATAATAATAATAACAAGGACGCACCGAATAAACGACCGTATCCCCGATTATAAACAGACTATACTACCTATTCGATGCCTACGCCTATACGACGTATAGACGTACGACTCCGTTTTCGCGAAACTACCTCGTAGCTAAGATTAAGACGAATTTCGAAGGCGTAACTTACGGGCCTATATAAGATACGTCGATGCTAATAACAAGCGAGAATGTTACGTAGAGGGTACTAATAGCTTGCGATAACAAGCCTGTTTAGCACGCGTTACGCAGAGGGTACTAATAGCTTACGTAAACTAAGTATAATTGTAACTACGCTTAGTCCGGGGCCTTTACTTATATACTTAAGGTCGCTTCGCTAACCTTTTAGCTTACTATTTTCTAGGTCTATATCCTCTACCTAGGTATCCTAAAGATTGCTAGGTTAAGCCTTATAGATTAGTATAGGCGGAAGGCTCGTAAAGTTAGCGGAAATAGCTATAATATAGGTTATCTACTCTCTATTACTATCCTATAGGTATCCTATAAGCTGTCTACTCTTAACTGCGTTCTTTAAGAAGTATCTTAATGCCTTGCTTAAGACCCTAATTATAAAGCCCTTCTCGTCTATATTTGTAATATTCTTCGGCTTAATATTGTACTTATTAATAGCCGCTTATAACTTCTCGAAGTACTAAGTATAGGAGAAATAGCTATCCGCCTTCTTATAAGCCTTATCTAAGTTGCTAATATATACTAAATCTAGGTATTCCCTCTACCGGTATTTAAAGCGAGTAGGCTAGTTCTTTCTAGGTATATTACTATAGATTTCGTAGGCGAAGTTACGTATTATTACGATAGTCGGAAGGAGGGCTAACTTAGTAAGAAGATTAATATAATCGTAGAGGGTTTGTTCTTATTATAGTATTAGTAATTGCTGTTCTTCGTACTACTACTGCTTAGTTCTAGCTTTGCTATTCTATAGCTTACTTAACTTCGTACGCTTAACGGAATACTTCCTTATAGTAGTAGAAATATTCGGCTTCTTCTACTCTTTTAAATCAGCTATTGTACGCCTATATTGCTAGTCTGTATCTATAGTTATTGTTGTTAGAAGATAGAAGGCCGAATTTCGAAAAAGTTAAATCGAGGTATGCGACAGGCGGGGCTATGCGGCAGGTGGGGAAGACTTCTATTTGGCAAAAGGTCTTGGCGCGCGACGCGCTGTATTTTTGAACAGCCCTTCACCACTCTGTTCACATCACAAAGACAACCAGATGGCTCGCCCGAAGAAGAAGCAGCAAAAAAAAAATCCTGCTGTGCCGCGCACGGGCACTTTGAACCAGATAAGTATTTATACAACAACAAAGAATGGCGATACATGCCTTCTGTCCACCGATATGTGAGCAACTGTTTGCGAGACGACTGCGTGTACTCGGTAAAACCCGACTACAGCAACCTCGTGTACGATCAACGGGAGGAGGCCAGGGCTGAATACGCAAGCGCAACTCCCTGGCCTTACTACGAAGACGGCGTGGACGCTGGTGAAGAGGAGGACTCCACTGCACAAACACCATTGGCGCCGGAAGAAAATGCTCCTGACCAGCCAAAGCGGCAAGACGATCGATACAGCAGCATTCTCCAGAAATCCGAAGCCGAACAGGAGGCAGAGCGCACTGCTCCTGCACGAGCGGAGCAAGCTGCTCAGCAACAGGCAGACGATGACAAGTGGGAGGCGGGAATCGATGAGATGAAGAGAAAGATTGCCACCTTCGAGATGGCACTGCGTGAACATAAGAAAAAGAAGCTCCTTGGGCAGAACGACTAGTTCTGCTCTCTTGGTCTCGATCACAGCGCGTTTGCTTCGCAGCGCTCCGGCTGGGCAGTCAATGATCCTCGGATCACAAGTACTCCGGTACCACTTTGAGGAAGCCTGCACTTTGGTGCCATAGATCACCTCTCTGCACCTCGGTGCCCTCTCGATCCTATCTGTACTTCGGTATCATGGATCGATGACTCTGCACTACGGTGCCTCGCTCTCTCCTTAGGAATGTTTGCATCTCGGTGCCCTCTCGATCCTATCTGTACTTTAGTACCATAGATCGATGACTCCGCACTACGGTGCCCCTTCTCGCGCTTCTAGCTACATGTATGCTAATAAGAGTTGCATATTATCAACTCATATATAGCACCAGCCGTGCTATGGTACACCACTTGCTGAGATGCGAAGCAAGGCAAGGATTGTGAATTAAATTACACCATGCACTGGCAGATGAGACTGGCAACAGGTCACGTCGAGGCTGAATTCCACGACAAATCTTGTGCATCTGAACCGTCCATATACTACGGCATAGCATCTGGTGATTACCCCTGGGACGCAGTAACAGACATGCCAGTACATAGCAACAGAAGAGATGCCATTTCCTCCTCTCACATTGATGTACATGGACCTTACCTTTCTTCCATCACTTGCCCATTCTCTGAATGCTCAACTGCAGGATATTTTGAGGATAGCCCATTCTCTGACATACATCTCCATGCTCCCTTTTAAATCGGGCTGAGCATTGGCCTCGCAATAGTCTGTGCGCGAGATTGGCATTCTTTTGACTTTGGTTGCCCTGTATTCTGCTTGACTTCATCAACACGACGACATTTCTTTTATGGCTAAGCGCGCCTCGCATCAGGCTATAGACATGCAGAGCAAGACTCTACCAGCTTTCTATGCCTTCAGAAACCAGCCCGCTTGGTCGTGCGCGGGCACTTCCTCTTACGCGCCAGCCACAAGCGTCCATGGCACAGGATCTCATCAACTGACTCACTTGGCGTACGAGGTTTGACGGTCCTGTTGCGACTCTGCAACGTCTTGTCTGCTGGTCGACTTGTTGAGAAGGAAACTCGTCAGTCAGCAAAACGTCCGTTGATCAACTGCCGAAGTTTATCGGGATCCCGGCGTCCCGCCGACCACACCGTTCTCTACTCTCGACTTCACCTTTCCGGTTCCTCTCAACGACGCGGAGCACGCCCCTCTCACTCCATATGCCGAGCGCAGCGTTTCCGACTTCGACGCATTCCTCCGCGTTGCACAGCATGGCGCTGGGAAAATAAGATATCCGGGCCCACGCAGATACTCCGCCCATGATGGTAACATGTGACGCTCTGCCTCCACGATGGAGTGCATGAACGCGTACCAAGCTAACAAGCGGTTCGCTAATGCAGATGGCGCGACTGGTGGATTGGCTATATCAAGGACAGCAGACCCTGCTGCTTTGGACGTACGGTAAGTAGCGAGAGGCCTCTCCCGATCCTTCATTCCCTTTCATAGAGAACGCTATGGCGAGCTTCTCCAAGACTCTGCTACTGAGCCTGGCACTCACGGCTATTGCAGGTGCTGCTCCAGTGGGCAAGATCATCCAAAGTCCAGAAGATGCTTGCTCCTCTCTCGCTTCGACCTTTAGCTTTCCAAATGCCAAAATAAACTTCGCCCACCATGTCACAGCAGGAACGAATCTCACGCTGGACACATCGACTGAAGATCTCCAGACATGCGGATACTCGACCGGCCAGGTCGTGCCTGTCGATCTCTGCCGAATCAGTGCGTATGTAGCGACCAGTAACCGTTCCGGCATAACCATGGAAGCCTGGCTACCCAGCAATTGGACCGGACGTTACTTGAGCACTGGCAATGGCGGCCTCAACGGCTGTCTGTCCTACGGCACCATGGCATACGGGACGGAATTCGGCTTCGCAGCCATCGGTGCCAACAACGGTCACGATGGCACAAGCGGCAAATCCTTCTACCAGAACGACGACGTTGTCACCGACTTCGCTTGGAGGAGTTTGGTGACCGAAACCAAAGTCGGCAAGGCCATCACCGAAGCGTTCTATTCCCAAGGCTGGACCAAGAGCTACTATCTGGGCTGCTCGACCGGCGGACGACAAGGTTTCAAAATGGCTCAATCCTTCCCGGAACTCTTCGACGGTATCGTAGCAGGAGCTCCAGCCATAGCCTTTAACAACCTCACTTCATGGTCCGGTCACTTCCTCCCCATCACTGGCACCAACACATCTTCAGACTTCATCACACCAGCCAAATGGTCGCTAATCCACGCCGATATTCTCAAACAATGCGACAGCCTCGATGGCGCGGAAGACGGAATAATCGAAGACCCATCCCTCTGTCATTACAAACCCGTCGCCCTCCAATGCCCCTCCACTGCCACGGATACCTCAACCTGCCTCACACCAGCACAAGTCAATATCGTCACCGGAATCTTCTCCCCATATTACGGAGAAAACGGCTCTCTAATCTATCCTCGCATGCAACCCGGTTCCGAACTCGTAGCTTCTGGCGTCATCTACAACGGAGTTCCCTTCCCCTACTCGGCCGACTGGTACCACTACGCAATATACAACGACCCAACCTGGGACTTAACCACCCTCTCCTCAGCAGACGCAGCATTCGCCCACGCCAAAGACCCCTCCGGTATTGAAACCTGGTCTGGCGATCTCTCACCCTTCCAATCCCGAGGCGGAAAACTCCTGCACTTTCACGGTTTGATGGATGGAGTCATCTCCTCGGACATTTCTCCTCGCTACTACGAACACGTCTCCACAACCATGGGCCTCTCACCTTCCGAACTCGACTCTTTCTATCGCTTCTTCAGAATTTCGGGGGCGGGGCATTGTAGCGGTGGTGATGGGGCTTGGCAAATTGGTCAGGTGACTGGCGGGAAGAGGGATGCGAGTCATAATGTTTTGCAAAGGATTATTGAGTGGGTTGAGGAAGGAGAGAGTAAAGCTCCGGAAAGTGTGGTGGGCACGCGGTATGTGGATGGTGCGTCGGGTGACGGGGCGGAGGTGGACTATGAACGGAGACACTGTAAGTATCCTTTGAGGAATAAGTGTGTGGATTCGGAGAATTGGAAGAGTGCGGATGCTTGGGAGTGTGTGAGGTAAAAAGAATGGTCAATTGAGTTTTGAAGGATGGTTTAGGGATATTGTAGGATTGATCCAATGAGTCCTGTTTCGTCATCCGATGAAGGCATGATCTTTCACTTCTTCCCTTCGTCGTCATCTTTGCGCCCTTCAAAGGCAGAACTATTTCCGTTGTAGAACTCGGCACTTTGATCCTTTCTCGCCGCTTCAGCTCTCTGATCTGCCAAGGTCTTGACTTTGATGGTCGTGCGGTCCAAAGTGCCATCACCGCCAAACCCTACGCTCTCATCTGAGGACGTCTCCCTCGAACTCGTAGAAGTTTCAGTCGCTGCAGCGCCAAAACCCGGCACATATGAAAGCGCAGACCCAAGCATGCTCGTAGCACCACTCGCTAGAGCATAAGTGTAATGTAAAGCAGAAGACATATACCCTCTCCCTCCAGAAGAATAAGCTTCCGTATACCCTGCCACGGGAGCTAAGACAAGGGTGGCATTCGGCGTGAGTCCAAGCTCCGCAAGGCTCTGATGCTCTTCACTAATCTCAATATTCCGACTAGGTTGTGGTGCCATGATTTGTTTGAATGTAAAAGGTATATCTGCTGCTTTGGTATTGCCTTGTTCTGCGGTAGTGGTTTTGATCCAATCTCGCACCGTTCCTGCGATTGTTGCGGAGGGCTCGAAACGGCCTTTGATTGAAGAGCCGTCGAAGAGGCGAATGAGGAGACTACACATTCCGCCTGCGCCGTTTCTTCTCTTAGATGCTGCGTCGACTGAAGGGCTGAGTAGTGGGGAGGAAGCTGCTTCGGTTTGTGGTCGTTGGAAGCGGGATTTGCGTTCTTGTTTGTCTGCTTCAATTTGTGCTAGAATTCGTTCTCGCTCTTGCTTTGCTTCATCTTTTCGCTGTTTTTGCTGGACTAGCCAGTCTCGACGCGCTTTCTCCTTTTGTGAGATTTCGGTAGCCTTGCCTTTGCCTTTGTCGCCCTCAGATGAAGCTGCGGCTTCGGCTTCTCTTCTTCGTGCATTGGCTCGCGCTGTTCGTTCTGCCTTTTCTGCCGCTTCTCTCTTGAGCTTCTCAGCTTCCAGTCGTTCGGCACGATTCGGAAATAAGGAAGACATGCCGTTCGTCGTAGGCACACTTGCGGGAGTTGATTCATGATGTGAGGTAGCTTGGTCTTGTGGTGATGTCACTATGGATGATTCAGGCAAGTCTTGACTCGCTGGGGTTGCAATTCCAGACTCTGAGGGTGTTTCTGTCTGTGCTGTACTATCTGTCGGCGCTGCTCCGGCTGCTGTACTCGAGCTGCCAGCATTCTCAGGCGTGCGAGCATTGGATCGCATGAAATCGAGATGGCTCTTTCGCATGGTATACATCTCCAGACTTAGCGCCTTGCTTATGCGCTCGACAAACTCCTGCTGGCTGACGCCGCCCTCAATTTTCTCAAGCACTTGACCCTTATCAATCACCACGAATGTCGGCGCTTTTGTGATGGGACAGAATGCACCGAGAAATCCCATCTCTTGACTGTGATATTCGATCTTCATGAGGACAGCCTTCGTAGCGAACAGGTCGACCACAGCTAGATCCTGTCTCCGGCCTAGCCATTGCTCTTCCCATCGCTGACTCTCCTCGTTGTCATTCTGCCGGATGAACAAGCCTACGAGCTTCTGCTCGGCGATGGCGCGAGAAATGCCGCTCTGGAGGTCGCCGTCGTGGAACATGAGGAATGTAGAGATCTGTGGGTTGTATGTTACAAGATGTGTGTATGATATCGCCGCGGTATTGAAAGCAGATGCCTTGCGACTTCCCTTGCTTGAAGTTGAGCTCTTGGCCGCGGTGCTCTCACGGAGCTATGACCAAGTGCTCAATCACATGAAAGCATTCACCTCGTTCGCTCTTTGGCATGTGAAGTAATTCGACGATAATGACAAGGGACAGGTCTTGGCCGTGATAATAGTGAGGGAACAACGACATGGCAAGCATGGGCCTCTCGCATGCCAAGACTTTCTGACGACCTCCCGCCACCAACCTCACCAACCTCACACTCCACCTCGCCCGGCCAAAAAACCGCCACACCGCTGCTATTCGACGTTCTCCCTCCAGGTGCTTAACGTGGGACAATCCTATCATCAGAAATCTACGCGTTCCTCTAGTCTAATGGATGTCCAATTCGACCATGAGCATCGTCTGGAATTGCATCTCACGCCCCTTTCTTCGTCACGCACGTAGGCAGCCTTACCACCACAATTGGCTGCCGACGACGCAGATGTTGCAGAATCACTATAATCCTGTGTTAAATGCCAGTCGTTGGCTGTCTGGCACTGCCAATGCTTTCGCTGCATGGGCAAAAGATGAGGTGGATTTGCTTCTTCAGCTCCGAGAAATGAGCGTACCTTACAGAGACATTGCAGAGCGTCTAGGCAGGGCCCAAAGGGCAGTCATGTCCCAAGCAAGTCGGCTGCGGCGAGAGGAGCAAAGGGCGAAAGGGTGTGTTGCCGGCCTCACCCTGAAATACTGGAGTAAAGAGGAACTGTCTACTCTCAAGGACTTACGAGCAAACGGGAGGACGTGTAAAGAAATTGCTGCGGTGCTGGATCGGTCGATCCCTGGCATCCGTGGTGCACTTGCTCGACAAAGGGTTGCGTCAAACGATCAGTCTCGGACTAATTCACTTTGGACGACGGAAGATAAAGCCACATTGATGGCGATGAGGAATGATGGATGTTCTTGGGCAATGGTTGCGTCAGCCCTCAAGCGCTCAACGGGGAGTGTGATGTTATGGAGTCATCTCAGGTGTGATGTTAATTTGACGCGACGGTTCTTCACTAAAGAGGAGGACGAATTGCTCTTGCGCTTGAAAGTAGACGAAAAGAAGAGTTGGGGTCAAATCGCCCTTGCGTTCGAAAATAGCAGGGGAATCAACCACCTCAGGGATCGTTTCCGTAATCTGCAAACAACTGCATTGGCCGGTAGATCGCCGGCAACTCAACGCCCCTGGACGGAGAACGACGTCGCTACGTTGCGTCAACTTGTCTCCTCATCAGCCACCTACGCTTCAATAGCGTTGCAACTAGGTCGCAGCAGGAGTGCCGTCTGCGGCGCCATCAAACTGCATCAATTTAAAGAGGCTAGAATTCGTCGAGTGCTATGGTCACCAGAGCAAGAATCTGCCCTTTTCCATTACAGACGCGATCTCTGCATGTCATTTCCCGAGATTGCTGCAATTCTGGGGCGCACTGAAGTAGCGTGCCGTAAAAAATACAGGCTTCTGAGTCACAGAAGTCGCATATCTCCAGACACAACTATAGAAAAGAATGAGCACGAGGCATTGGAACACGCCTGTGGACATTCAAATTAGTCTGGGCAGTAGATGACTTGAATGTTTGGAATGAGTGCACCTTTGCACGGGCAGTGAGATCCGCGTTGGTGGCACTCGATGGACTTCCAATTATTCCCTAGTTCTGTCGGATAATGGAAATTCGGATGATCGGCAGATACGGTCATTATCGAATGAAGACATTGGCTGTGCAATAGAGGCAAAGAACCACCGGACCTTCTCCATCGTGTCGGTATGTGTTCATCCAAACCTGAGTGTAGAGCTCGTGGAAGAGCCAGCATGTTCAAGACTTCAAAACTGTTTCGTGCATCCTGTATAATAGAGGCCAGAGGGGGAGTCGGCGGTAGGTGAAAGACACGCGCCTATTGAGGCCCGTTGCGACAACTCTGTCTATGCCATCAAACCAAACACACACCAAAGAAGAAAATGCATTCAATACTAAAGAATTTCAACGCCCGAGATGAATTCTCTCGCCATTCTTCTTTCTCCCTCAAAATATGAAGAAACCAACGGACCTCACTCCTTCACCGCCTCCTCTATAGATCCAAGGATTTGAACATGGTTGTTTCATCGGCAGAGCCGGACAGCTGCCGACGAGCGATCGACATGACTTGCATAATGCAATGTCGAAGGCATGAACCCATGCCTATAATAAGAGGGGTATTATACATAACAACCTGGTTGGGCGGAGCGCGACAACCACACCGGATGCTGACTTTGCAGTGTTAGTATACAACTCAAAAACGGTCTGGCTATCATTTTAGGGCTGCATCCTTGAACTTTGGAGCTCTACTGCTATAGGTGGCTAGATTGTATAATTTCATCGAGGATGGATTACATGACTGATTCATGTAATAGCTGGTATAAGTCAAATTTCTGATTCAAATTTCTGATTCATATATGAGTGATATTACAGTATCCATCCATACTGGCTAAACTATAGATTCTTCCCATGGCATCGCGTGTCATGGTCCTCCCCCAAAACAAGAAATTCTCCCTGAGTAACGTAGATAGACAAGATTGGGTATCATCTCTAATTCAGTGCAAAGTTTCTGCTCAACTCAAGACAAGAGGTATGTATCATTTAGAATTCAGGCATCCTTCCCATGATTTGCATGCATTCAACATAAGAGATTTCGATGGCAAGATAGTATGTGGTTCCTCCCACCAGCATATTAGGTCGTTTTGTGTCCATGTCGGGTATCAAAAACAAATGATGGTCGTTTCGTAAAGTGTCGGCCGTAGATGAAGTGAATATCGCTGCGCTCACGAGACTTCAATGCCAAGTCCCACGTTCCTGCCCTCTTCTTCAATGTCGCCGATCGCCACACCGATAGGAGTGCCAGTTCTGAGTATTGGACCTTCGGTCCTGCTCGCTGGTCTGCTGTGCGTGGGAATCTCAGGCAAGGGAGTCTGAGGCGGGGGAGCTGGTGGACCTAAACCAACGACCGGGATTCCGAAATCTAGTTCGGGCAGAGACGCCGAGGCTCTTGGTCCGCGAGTGCGGGATGATGGTCGCGATATGCTGTAGCTGTCCTTTGGTGGTGACGAGGATCGGGTCGGTAGCGGTGTTGCTTGTTCAGCTTCCTCCTCCAGGACCCTTCGAGTGCTGAAGTTGAAGGATTCGGTCTTCATGACAGTGCGTTGATGAACAGTCTGCATGGTGGCGACAGAACGGGAAGGTTTGAGGCTGCGAATGGGAACCGTGGTGGTGGATCTCTCGTTCTCATTGACTGGCGACGTAGGTGACGCACGAACCGAAGATAGGAACGGTGCAAAGCTGGTTCGCACCTGCATCGAACTTGGCCGCTTGAGAGCACCAGCATCCGCAGTACTATGTGCGGCACGAGTGTTGAGCGCAGTAGCTGACGGCGATCGTGTGACTCGCTTAAGAGGGACTGGTCCGCTTATTGGCGCTGGCACTGCACCACTTGGGAACAGAGAGAGACGGACGGATTGATTTCGCTGAACGTTCTCGGGCGCACCTTGGCTTGTCGTCGGTGGCGCGGGAAGTGGCCTAGAAGGTGGCGGAGAAGGGTTGTGAGGAAAATCGTGATAGTCTACAACGGTGCGAGTGGTTGCATCAACCTTCGCCACCAAGGTAGTAGCGGCAGGTACTGGCGATAGGAGGGCGCCCTCTGCGCCCGCGGACCGTGAAGCTCGATTGATGACCGGGCGCTGGAGGGATTGATCCTGTACATTCACACGCAGTGGCAGGCTAAAGGATTGTGAGCCGGCCCTCAACGGCCTTGTGCGACCGAATGGATCTGCTTGGCTTTGGCCCCGGCTGGTCGGGGAGCATTTGCTCGCCCAAGTAGTAGGATCGGGAAGGTCACCCACAAACGATTCAGGCCTCTCAACAACTTCGGCCGTGGGTGGCATTGGGAGTGCGGACGAGTAAGTTGTCTCCCCGATGAGGTTCAAGTTCGGTACACTCCGGGCGGCGGGTGAGAGGTTCTTAGATGGCCAAAGGGTCGCGGCAACGTGTGTGGGCTGACGACCAAGGAGTGGTGAGTCGACAGAGGTGTCCGCTTCAAGCACTGCCGGATCCGGCAGCACGAGGGGCGCTGCAGATCGTCTCTTCGGCAAGGCGTATGATGATAGGGTCCGGTAGGGACCTTTGGCGGCCGCAGTCTCAGCTTGGATTTCATGAACCTCCTTACCCTCCGATGGCGGCGTTGAGCTGATCGAGTTCGTGCGAGATACACTAGAGCCTGCGGTTGTGGCTACCGTCGAATGCGAGATCCGGCTGCTATCACGCAGAGTGTCGAGCTTCTGCTGGTCAATGGACACTCCCGTAGAAGAGTTCGTAGACATGGCATCCGAAACTTTGCGTGCTAGAGGTGGGATAGTTTCAATGTCACTACTGGCCTGGGCTTCTTCCTCGGGATTCGACATGATTAGGTGCTTTTCTTCCGGCGTAGGTATTGGCGGTGTTGGCGGCAGCTCCTTCATGACGTCCTCGGTCAGCGAGGTGATGTTGAATATCATAGATTCTCGCTTGATCTGATAGCGATGGCTCAGACTTGGGGTCCTCTGCAGATCAATTTTCGGCGGCTCGGTCGTTCTGGGGCGGGCAGTGGAAGAATCAGATCGTGCTCGTTTGCCACCATGCTTCTCAATCTCCTCCCGAATGGTCGTCATCCAGTCTTCCATCTCCCGAGCGCCAGGCATCACAATCAGAAAGTTCGAGGCCATCTTCTTTGCCACTTGGCTTCGCAGACCGATTTTGGAGAAGAAGGAATTCGGGTGAGGCATAGCTGTGCCATTCTGATCGACGGCATGCTCGACGTGCAGCACATGGTACTTTCCTGGGATGAGGTCGGAGGCATATGCGGCCGAATGACGACCAAGCTGGAGGACCTTTTCAGGAAGGCGATCGCTCGGTCCCGTTTCGGCGTATTGCAGCAGATATCCAGACGTGACGAGCACGAAAATTTTGCTGGGCAGATGGACACCGGATATCGAACCGTTGGCGACATGTTTCAACGAGGATTTGACCGTCACACGAGATTCAAAGCTGCCTCGGTTACCAGCACTTTGCAAAGACTGCATATCGGGAGCGGGCACGAGCAGCGCTGTTCCGACCATTCGAATCCTGGATTTCTGCAGGACCATCTCCGGGGTGACGGTCGTCATTTCGAACGTTCCGTGCTTTGTTGTTTGTGGCCATACCTGGAACAAGGGCGGCGGGTCGAAGTGTCGGGCCTTCCTTTCGATGGGCAGAGGAGGCACAGACTGCTTGATTGATGCTGTCCTGGCAGTCCTGCCTGCGTAGGATTTGGACGACGTTGGGCGAGGCCTGGTTGGTAGTGCATCGAATTCACGTGCTCGGGAGACGACTTCGGGGCGTCGATGAGATGGGTCGCTCTTAGACAGCGTTCGAGATGGACGCTCGAGGCTGGGCTCAGCATAGCCGCGTTGACGTTCGACCTTGGGCTTGCTGAATAGGTTGAAGAGCGACATGTTGGTCAGACGTGGACGCGATTGCTGGTCGGGCGGTGGTGGTTGGCGGTGGTTCAGAGAGGACGGCGCTGCATGTTGACGTTCAAGAGCTTGATGACTGGGGCGTGTTCGCAAAGTCTTTCGTGGCTTCAAGGCAGGAGCAGCAACAGGAGAAGAAACAGGATGTGCAGTGGAAGACTGGGCTGCAGCATCTAGGGTGGTGGCCGAGCGTGACAGCTGCGGAAGCTGGTTTCGATCATCTAGGCCGGCATCAGCGGCAGACTCCAGATGCGTTTCATCAGGCGCATCCATGTGAGCTGATGAAGTGTAAGGCACAAACCCTGCACGGTCGTGCAGCACGTTCGCAGATTATTATTCAGCGGCGCGTCCAGGCTGCTTGCGCGACTCAGGGCCCGACTGTCGGGACGGACTCCTTCTGCTTCGGGAGATCACACACAGCAGCGATGGCGTGGGCGGAGGAGGAGTGGTCGGCGGCGGAGTGGAGGGGTGGCGGGGCAGAGGTGTCGACTGGGGATGGCAAGGCGAGGTCGAGGGGAGGGGAGGGGAGGGTGGGTGAGTGATGCCACACTGTTGTGATATTTTGTTTCACGGGCGCCATGGCCCATCATGGGGGACCGTCCGGTATGAAGAAAGTGGAAATCGGATGTTCTAGCACGTCTTTCCCAGGGAAGGGAAGCGTCGAGCCGGTAGCCTAGACGACCTCGCCACTTCCCCGAGCCCCAGCTACCCGCCCGAGCCCCAGTGATATAGTGGATTATGGAATCCGCTGTTCCTAACAAAATCGCGTGGGGAAGCGATTTCCGGATCCCCGCAACCACTACCGACCGGGCAACCACCTCTATACTGCTGCTAGCAGCTATGAAGCTAAAGTTTGTTAGCAAATTAGTAGTATAGCAAAATTCAAGGTGTTATTAGTTGTTGCTATCTACTTAGGTCTAAGCGGGTTACGACCTATAGCCTTATAACTACGCGAGGCTATATATACTAGCTTATACTAGTCTCTAGCCTGCTAGCTAGCCTGTTACTATATATAATACTGCTACTAAGTGAACTAATAGTGCTATTACTATAGCACCTAGTAATAAAGTAGCTATCCTATTAGCTATATAAGTAACTATTATTATTGTTATTACTAGTATTACTAAGCAGCCTATCGTTGCTGCTATTTAAACAACGCCGCCTACTATCGGCTATGTTTAATCTATTACTAAGTGCGCTATTCTTTACGCGCTCGAAGGTTATTAAGCTCTTGCTATAGAAGGTCTAGCTTAGAAGGAGGTTGTAGTTATAGTTTAACCGGAAGTAATAGCTCTTAACGTAGATTATAGCACTCGAAGCTAGAAGGGTAGTAGGTAGAGCTATATAGTCGATTAGCCTTCTAGTAAGGATACTATTAAGTACGGCATTAGCTCTTTACGTACTTATAGTACTTAATAGTCGTCCGTAACTAAGTAAGCGATACGCTAGGCTCGAGTACGAAGGCCGCTGTTCTTAGTATTATTGTCTTCTGCTTCTTAGCGACTACTGTCTTATTTAAGTCGTCTAATTCTCGAGCCGTTGCTATACGTTTTGTTATATATAACGTCGCTCCGCTAGTAAGAGGTTTGCGGTTGCTATAGATTACCTATAGCTCTCGAATACGGTACGAGTTAAAGAGCCGTACCTTCTTAAAGTCGACAAACTAGTAAGCGTAGAAGTAAGAAGGCAATAGTACTATATAGCTGCCCTCTATCTCTAGAAGCTTTATAATATCGTAAAGGTACGGATAGCTATAGGTCTTAGATAGGTAGTCGTTATAGCGGCACTATAGACAAGAACACGAGTATGCCGAGTACTTAATCTCGTTGCTATTAGCATTAACTATAGCCTTCAAAAGCGAGTTAGTACGCGAGTATAGAGCCTATACTTCGAGAAGGTAATAGTCGCTAATACCTCGAGTTATAGAAGACTAAAATAGACCGATTAAGGCCTTAGAACAGCGCTTTAGGTTGTTAGCGAGTACAGCTCGGCGGCGGTCGTAGCCTTAGTACTACTAGTTAAGAAGCGACTCGAAGAGGGTAAAGATATCGTACCGACTACTATAGTTTAACTACTCCTTAATCCGACCGTAGGTTGCCTCGACTCGTAACGTTGTTTTATAGCTAAAGTGCATTACTTAGTTAGTCTAGCAGTAGACAATCTTCTCCTTATAATACTACTAGTTATTGTTTAAATAGGACTTAAACTATAGAAACACGTTATCTAGCTTATAAGCCTTATCGTTAAATTCTTCCTCGGACTAACTCTAGACTATATAAGTAAATAGCTTTATAAACTGAGTAGTCCTTAGACTATTAGTCTACGAGCTATCGTTAGCCTTTACTTATACAAAGTCGCCTCGTTCTTTACGTACTCGAGTTAATATATCTTATTATAGGTGCTAGTCGCAGACGATATTCTTAGACTCTAGATACACCTCGTTAATCGCTAATATAAGAGCCGCTTTACGGTTAGTGCTAAAGACAATAGGTAGTAGACAACTATGCTTCTCGAAGCTATTCTAGATTAACTATAATAGCTATATAAAGGCCGCCTTGTTAGGCTTCGGTTTAACAAGGCTAATACCGAGTTTAATCGTGTTATTTATCGGTCTAGCGGCGACAATATCTAGCAACTCGAGGTTGTATAAATTAGTACTATAAGTCGTATCTAAACAGATAATATATAGCGTGTCCTTATAGGCAGAGAGCGACCGTAGATAGAGGGCAACTATTAACCGAATTATACTATTCTTAGGATTAGTTATTATCTCGTAGAAGATTGAATTCTCGTCTAGTAGCTTAACTATTCTCTCGGCCTAGTTTGACTCTCTTCGAGCGATAGTATTACGGTTAAAAGCAATATTATAGACATCGTATAGCTTTAGAATAACTCCCTAGCCTCGGAAATAGGCTATAATCTTCGAGGTTAGTATTCGTAACTGCTATAATCGCTCTAGTTACTTAAGGAATTGCTAAGACCTCGTACGGATACGCATATTAGTTAATAAGACAACGTCGTTAGGTCTATAGTTATACTAGCAATATATATCTTTAGAAGAGTAGCGAATACACTACTTACTATCTAGCGTGCGAGGGTCGATAGCAACAGCGTAGAAATAGAATTTATAGCTAATCTTCTTCGTCTTCTTCTTCGCCTTATTAGTCGTTATCTAGGTACGTTTATTAGGCTTACTAAAGCAGCCGTAGACGTAGAGATAGCGGTATTTAATACTATCCTTATTCTTCTTAGGTTTCTACTCTTTAAACTCGAATCTAGTGTCTATACTAAACGACTAAATATAGCGTACGAGCGTATTCTTCGAAGGAAACGACGACTAGCGAGGTAATAGCCTATAAGGGCGCTTAATCGTTATAAACTTATGCTTTTAAGGTCGCGGCGATACTAATCGATATTCTAGCAGATTAACACGCTCGCGCGGCAGCGATAGCGATAGTAAGCGCGAGCGGCCTCGAATACGTATCTCCGAGACAAATTAAACCTCTTCCTACGACTTAATAACTACCGCCGAGAGCGCGCCTTCTATATCTTCTATTTCTATTTCTACCTCCTTCTACGACTTAATAACTACCGCCGAGAGCGCGCCTTCTATACCTTCTACCTCTATTTCTACCTCCTTCTACGACTTAATAACTACCGCCGAGAGCGCGCCTTCTATACCTTCTACTATCGCTACTACTACCGCTACTACTACGCTATTACTACCGCCGGCGATAACTTTATCGAGAAACTCGTCGTAGGATAGAGATTCAGCTATTTTCGGTAGTTACTAGGTAATCTACTATAAAAGAGGGAAGAAATGCGAACTTTAGGTCTATAGTAGAATTTAAGGTACGAATTCGAGGTACGACCTCCGCGCCTATTAATAATACTATCTAAGAACGGATATAATATATAATAGGTGGAAACAGCACGTAATCTAATTCAGGACGATTCTACATTAGTATATCTACTAGGGCTCGGGCGGGTAGCTGGGGCTCGGGGAAGTGGCGAGGCCTAGACGAAGACGAGACGAAGCCGATCGTCGGTGGCTTCCGCGCCAGCCTGAATTGGCGAGAGCCTCATCCCGGGGGGCTGGCGGGAGGGCTGGAGGGCATACAGCAGTCACTACTACTGAGTTCAGAGTGCAGGATACGGGGACATGCTCCGCCGGGTGCTGGTTGGGGGAGCTGCATGATTCAAGGTGCCGCTGCCGGCGCCGGTGCAGATCATTGGCATCTCATCTTCTATGCTGCGGCAGCGAGACTCTTCATCATTGAATTATCACGCGCGGTATGGCCAAGAATTGTCGGGCGATGTGCAGGGGCTGGGCGATGCGGGACCAAGTGCCTTCATCATCACATTTCAGCTTTCCACAAGTGAGACTTGGATTGATGACCAGGGCAGACAGGAGACCAGGGCATTCACGGGCATTCTGTGCCTGTGGAAAGCAGGCGTTGGCAGAAAACTGTTCAACGGACGCCACGGCCAGGGATGCTACAGCCTCCAGTACCAGAGCGAGCGATCGATCGGAGATGATGAAAAGGAGACTTCCGACAATCTACTTGCTATACGACCGTCGACCACATTTGGTGGCCGTGCCGTACCAGACAGTAGCAATTGAACGAGGCATTCAGAAGAGCTCTTCATTAACTATGTGCATCAGGTAGCTTCTGCAGAAACGACTAGGCATATGCAGCAGATGCAGCAGCGCGCACAGTGCCACCGTGCTGCCCGGCGGGACGTCTCTTGGGCCCGGCCTCGCTCGGCACGTCGGCGTGACGAGAGACGGAGGATTGTCGTTGTGATGAGACCATTAATCATGTCGCGCACGTGAAACGGCAGTGACCAGATAAAAGCAAGTGTTGATGTGTTGATACACAGACACAGCAGAAAGAAGTCCAGGCACAGCGGCACGGCCTGGCATGGCATGCTATTCTGCTGCCTATCCCCGACACCTGACGCTCGAGCTGCTTTTTGTGAGTCGGCACTGCTCTCAAAGCCTCCGTACGCCTAAGGCAGACACTCGATCCGACTTGTTGACCAACACGAGCTACCCAGGAATCGATTGCATGTCTGCATCAACATGCTGTTTGTTGACCTTTTCTTCAATTTCTTTGACCCTTGTGGCCTGACGACACGGCCAAAAGCCAAATGCAGCCCTCTCGGCTCAGCTTGCACAAAACGCCGACATCTCACGACCTCACGAGAGACATGCTGCCATCCTTTGTCATGCGCTGCTGGCCGCACTCCCATTGACACCGCAGTCCAAGCCGTATATCTTCCTATCATCCACCGCCATTCCCGCTACCATGCCACCCGACCTCAATTCGCTACCTACGAGCCGACCGTCCAGCATGCCAGGCTCTCCACTTTCGCAGCGTCCACGAAGAATTTCAATCAGCACGGGAACGGATGCTGCCCGACCTAGTCCGCCTTCACCTCGATCGCCTTCACTGTCTTCACTTCAGGCAGCCGCAACCATCAATGCCGGCCTACACCATTCACCATCGCGCGCATCTCCAAGCGTCGAACGGCGCCGCTCATCACTCATGAACAACCTCACGCTGAACGATCCTACAGTGCCCGCTCCAGGCGAGATGCAACAAAGCAGCCCCAGTACTGCCGGCAGCCGGCGCATGAGCAGGAGGTCGTTCGCGCTCAATACCGCAGATCCACATCACCCTCGACAGCCAAGCTTGGGAGAGCTCCACCAAGAATTGGAAAATGAGCAGGAAGCTCAGGTCAACAGACTCTTGCATATGATCAGAGTCCAACAAGATCAGCTAGCAGCGATGCAACGACAGCAGAACAGTCCTGTAGACAGTTCTCCAACTACTGCTGACAATACAACCGCCGCCGCAACTCCATCCACTCTCGCGACTCCAGCTGGCACTGCAGTCACAGAGGCTTCGAGTCCGCACTCCAATAGCACTACAGCCGCAGCTGCTGCACACCCACACTTCAATCGGCCCCATTCCTTGTCACGGAGGTCATCGGCATTGATCTCAACCCCTGGAAGCCGTGGCACATCTCCGGCACTGCGACCCCAGAACGGCAGCCTGGGACCATTGACCGAAGACTTCCTCCTTGGCGGCACGAGGGACGAGACTGCTTTCTACCAAGCAGAGACGCAGACATTGACGAGGGAGAACCAGATGCTGAAGCTACGCATCCGAGAACTCGAACGACAGATTAGCGAGATGGGAGGAGCGTCGTCGAGTGCTACCCAGCAGAGTCTTGCGGCAAGCCAGACTCATCAGCACTCACCTTTGACCAGTCCACCTGCGACCTTCGCAGCGGAGAGCGTTACTGTGCCGGCGGAGGTGGAAGCGACTGCAAAGGTCGATTGAGCTTTCCCAGTTTTCTTATGATTGTACAATGAGCGAGGCGTTGGTGGACTTTCGGAGAGCACAAGTAAAAGTGTATGAATTACGAGGGACGAAAGACCAGATATTACTGGCATTGGGAACTGGGAGCTTGGGCAAATGGCGATGTGAACTGGACTTCACTCTGGATTACGATGTAGCGATACTACTTGACGATGTTTGAGGTGAAGTGCTGCAATCCAGACCTACCACCATTATGATGACTCCGGAGTATTGCTTCGTGTATGCTTCGTATGCTCGATACACTGTCTTCAGCAGTGGGAACGGCGTTGGCCAGCAGAGCCTCAAATGCCGGGTCCAAATTGCGTGAGTCAATACCGCCTCTGAAGCCATTGAAACTCATTTGTGCAGTGGTGTGGTGATCTTGGTGGCCAGGTGGGCCTCAATACCAGATCGGACCTTCAAAGTCAAAGTCAAAGCTCCAAGCTGGGACATCACGTGTCGAGTTGCCAGCCGAGAGCTGCCGAGAGCTCGCTGCTTAAGGTTACCCTTGCTCGCTAATTCTAATTCTAGCGCGATCGGAGTTGCAGAGGCCGACGAAATTTCAATTGTATATCGCAAAGTCCAGGCTGTCTAGCCTCCGGTTTCTATACAGTATACAAATTTCTCACCATGGCGCCCACCTCCACAGCTGCATCGAAAAAGGCGGCGTCTGGGTCGCCAGCGAAAATCGATCCTTCACAGACTCTGCGAGCGACCACAGCACTGTTGCGAAAAATCCAGGCCGACGAAAGCGAGCAGAAAACCAGTGCATCAAAATCAAATCTCCTCGAGGATGCCGACGAGGAGGATGTCGAAGATGATTCTCCAGTGTGGCTGATTCTTACAACCAAGAAGCACATTGTAGATAAGAAGCGATTAAAGCCTGGCAAAATTGTGCTCCCACATCCACTACGAAGTGTGGAGGATGCGAGTCTGCGAATATGTCTGATCACAGCGGATCCACAGAGAAAATACAAGGACTTGATCGCGGAGCCCAGCTTCCCTCTCGACGTGAGCAAGAAAATATCAAGGGTGATTGGTTTGGAGAAACTGAAGAGCAAGTACAAGAGCTATGAGAGCAAGAGGCAGCTCGTCTCAGAGTACGATATTTTCCTTGCAGATGACAGAATCATCACCTATCTGCCGACTGTACTTGGCAAGGTGTTCTACAAGGGTGGAAGCAAGAGACCAATCCCAGTGACTTTGGAGGGAAAGAGGGAAAGCGTAGACGAGCAGGGCAACAAGCGAAAGCGCCTGGCGGAGGGTGGTGAAAAGGTCACGAAGAAGGATGTCAGGCCAAGAGACGTTGCGGAAGAGGTCAAGCGAGCAATCGGCGCTGCGCTGGTACACCTAGCGCCCTCAACTACGACAGCCATGAAGGTCGGAAAAGCCAGCATGACGCCCGAGCAAGTGCAGGCGAATGTAGACGCAACTGTCGAAGCAATGGTCGAGAAGTACGTGCCGCAGAAATGGAGCAACATGAGGGCAGTACACATCAAGGGCCCGGAGACAGCTGCGCTACCCATCTGGATGACGGAGGAGCTGTGGGCAAACGAGCATGATGTCCTGGATGAGGCGCCCTCGAAAGAAATTCCTGGAAAGAAGAGGAAGAGGGGTGCACTGACGAATGGCGAAGCGGATGTCATCGAAGTGCCTGGACCAGATGGCAAGATGAGGCGGGTCAGCAAGCGAAAGAGCGATCTTGCCGAAGTCGAGCCTGAGCCAGCACTGCCAAAGAAGCGGAAAAGCGAGTCGAAGGAAGAGGTCGAGGCGAAGGCGCAGGAAAGGGCCGAGAAGACAGCTAGGAAGGAGGCACTGAAGAAGCAGAAGGATGCGGTGGATGCAAAGGCAATCACTAACGGCGACTCAAATAAGCCTGGCAAGAAGGCAAAGAAGTCGAAAGCATGAAAGCCTTTATATCGGTGTTACTCTTCGGCATAGCGAGGCGTTGTGGTGCTTGGCTTGGATTATGAGCGGAATGTGTAGATTGACTTCCTTTGCGTGAGTGTGCGTGGCATACAGATGATCATGCGAAGACATCGAGATCTTCTAGTCCTTGTGGTCTCACTTGTTCTCCACACTCGTTCACTTTCATGTGTTCAGGGTCGCCTCGTGAAGAAGCAGGGACCAGGCAGCACGGCCCCACTAGTGGCCAGGGTTCTTGACCTCGCAGTGAGCTGTCCCTCGAACTTCCCCTTCCACACTTCACGAGCAGGCGACATCACATGCGTACTGCCTGTTTGGACACTTCAAAAGGCCGTCGCCGTCGCCCTCTGGCATCAATCCAGAAAACATCTTCCTTTCCGCATTTACACTCACACAGTCTCGGAGACTACGCGCAACAGCTGCTCAGCCATATCGCTTCTGACTGAGCGACTGGTCACGGCACTCCACTCCTACGACCAGAACGCCATGGCGAACCATGAGCCGAATGTACTGCAGTACCCGCACAAGGCCGACATCTACACGTACAGGGTACCTACGCCGCCTAGAATCGTCGTCCCACCACCTGCACTCAACGCCGATTCGATTCCAGAGATAACATTATCGGCGATCCGCACCTCGTCGTACAACTTCCTCTCCACAGTCGACTACAGTAACCTTGTCCAGCAAAATGCGCCTTTGGAGTGGAACTACGAGAGGCGGCGCGAGGCACAGAACATCCTCCCATTCCTCGCACTCGGACCCATGACTGCCGCAAAGGACGAAGGCTACCTGCGGCTAAACGATGTCACCATGCTGCTGGGCGTGCGGCAGAAACACGGTTTCCAGAGCAAGCTCATGAACAGTGCGCTGCGGACAGCCGAAAAGCTGAACCTTGCATGCGAGACGATCGATTTGACGGGCAACCAGGACCTGATTCGCAGCTTCCAGCACACGACTGCTATCATTAACAACCACCTCTCGCAGGTCCATCAGCAGACTGGTAGGCTCGGCAAGGTTCTGGTATTCTGCGAGAGTGGTAATGAGCGCAGTGCAGGAGTGGTGGCTGCCTATCTGATGGAGACGCATGAGGACGTGGATCATATCAAGGCCATGCAGCTCTGTCAAGCACAGCGCTTCTGCGTCAACTTCGACGATGGTATGAAGAGACTGCTTCAGGGATACTGGGACATTTTGTGCGCGAGACGTGCCGTGGCAGTCCAGACGACTTCCGCGAACGGCACCACTGGAAGCGGGAATGGGGAAATCATCGGCCCAGCTGCTCCGTCAGCGCGCGTGAAGCGGACTCTGGAGCGTGATCAGCCGGACGACCAGGACATGGACCTTGACGACGAGGACCAGGATGATCTGGAACGCTTCGGTGGTCGAAGTTTTGCGCCTTTTAGAGATCAGCCTCTATGAAGAGGGCGCTCGTTCCGATATTATATGACGCGAAATCACGGCAGAGCAGGCGCAAATGAGTTTCACACTTAGCGATGGAGCGATGGAGTTTACAGGACGGGCATTTTTGAGATACCCCATTCGCTAGCGAGCAGCAGCAGCATCGGTTCGGCGCAATAGGAGCTGTAGATACGTGCCGAGCCTTGACACAGGCTATGGGTGTAAATAGGCAGAGAGATGCGATACGAGAATGTTTATAACGGCCCCTTCCTGGGTACATCTCTTCGCTTGAGGATACTAATGTTCACTGCAGTCCTTTGGTCACGCTAAATACTGTCGCAAGCAATTCCCCGACCGACTACCACCTTCCGAGCCGACCTCGAGCAAGGCGGAGGCGAAGTCTCGAAATGACACCGGCTCTCGGGTGCCTGCGTCCACATGTTGACACGAGCATGCGTCCTGCTGATGACACCTGCAGCACGCCTTTCTTCAATTTATATCACATGCATGTCCGCCCGAATCTGCACCTGCATCTGCTAATGCAATACTGTTGGGCACCGATACATACACCTGGTTGATATTCGACCTGGTTGTCAATACCCGAGCCCTGGCGACAAGAATAGCAGTTGCGGCAGCTTAATCATGACCATGAACAGGAACTCGGACTGGCACCGGTGCAACGCTTTTCGAGAGAGTCGACCGGAAAAGTACCCAAATACCATCCATTTCGGATTAGCACATCCTGGACATCTCTAGTTGCGGCATCTATCATCAAAAGCTCATGAAGTCCTACACAGAGCTGACCAAAAGTCAACATGCACCAGCAACATCTTCCGCATCTCGGTCAAGCACGTTCATCATCTGCGCGAAAAAGTATCTCCTGTCATGCGAGGCAAACCGTATAATACCTAAAGCGCTAGGATACGCCACGCCGGCAAGTTCCTGCCGCAGCGGACTCGGCAAGATATAGAAGTCCGCGCCGTAGTGTGCGTGACTATAGAAAACGTAATCTCGTCGTCGCTGCGCGTCGCAGTTGCTAGGTCGACCGTAGTAGTAGTAGTAAGGGTAGTAGTGCGATTTCCGCTAGCATACTAAAGGTCGATAGTAAGAGGTCGTACGGTCGCAATTTGATGGATTTCGCACTGTTTTAAAAGACTTTGACGACCCCGCATTCTCTGCTAATAGATACTAGGTATATTACTAGAAATGAAGCCAAAGTTTATTAGCAAAACAGCGGTATAGCCAAATCCGAGGTATTGTTTATATTACAGTAGAAATACGTATAGAAGTATTACTTATAGACTATAGACTTAATAGATCTATATAGTAGGCGCGCCTATTAATACCCTAGTAGTATATAATGCTATAGTTGTCGTAGAACAAGCCTATAGGCAGAGGTACGAGCTAGTACTACTGCTGCTGCTATTAGTTAGAGGGCGGCGCAATACTATATAGAACACTAGGCGCGATTTAAGTCGCGTTTCTATACAAATTTATATAGATATTGCTATTAACTAGCGCGAGTAGTGTTCGCTAAGGTATTATCGCGTTCTCTGTCGCAATCTTAGGCTCCTACCTCGCGTTCTTGCTCTTCCTCTTACTACTACTACTGCCCTGCGCCCTCCGCTTGTTCTTGCTCTTGCCGACTATCGCGTCTACGGCGGTCGCGTTAATAGTAATATTTTAGTTAATAATCGGACGGCAGAAGGACGACAGTATCTCTAGAGGTATAGGAAGTTGTAACGGTATAGGATTCGCGCGCGCGGTAAGGTTAATCTTGGCGCCGGTTGTAGTGTTATTATAGTCGTCTACTAATAGCGACAAGGCGCGTTGTCTTAACTCGCCGCTAATATTGCGGACAAGACTAATAAAGTTATTAATAACGCGGTCGCGACGAGGACTATCGAGCGGCTTACCTTTAGTAGTTAGTCGCTCTTCAATCTTATATAGCAGTTATCGCATATTATTATAAAGCTTACGGAATTGAAGCCGGTAAGCAGGTACAGTCGTACGGTCGCAATTTAAGGGCGCGGTTAGCGTACGAAGGTTATTGTAACAGTTAAGTCCACCGTCGTCAAACATAGCTATCTAGCGGTCGTAATTATGTGTCTTAATTAGCCTATATTCTATTGCTTTGTAAGCGGACTAAATATAGCGACAAAGGACACTGTTTTAACGGAAGAATTTGCAGTCGTAGGTTAGGTCGTCGGATATAGGCTTCTACTTATAATATACCTCCGGATCTTCGGCGTAGTTAATCTTAGCGCCAATTGCCTACTAAAGCTTCTACGGAAGTCGTAGAAAGAAGTAGGCAATCTCGTTACTATCGGTTGTCCGTAGATAGACCTTCGTACGCGCCGCGAAGGCATCGTTATCGGCTCGAAGGTCGTATTTAGCTGACTTCTTAATTACTCGCATTGCCGTCCCTTTAAGTATGTAATCGCGCTTTATAATAGCCTTAAACTCGCCGTATTTAAGCACTAAATGCTAGCCTTCGAGCTAGTTAGTATTTAATATCTATTCGACGACGGCAGGCGCGCTAGAGACAGCGCAACGATAGTGCTTACAAATTAGCGCTATATTGTCTTTAAGCTCTTTCTGTAAATAGCGGAGGTCTAACTAATAGTCGTCGTCGTCGCTCTCTAGTACGAGGGTGCTATCTTTACGCGTAGCGCGTAGAAGACTCGCCCTTGCTAAATTAAGTAACTCGAGAGCGCCTTTACGGCTTCTTCTCGAGAAGGCGAAGGCATATAGGTGCCGCTTCGTGTCTGTGTATTTCTCGCTCTTAAATCGCTTATCTAACGTCCGTTTAATATATATATAGCAAAGAAGGTGCTTTATAGTAGGAAACGCGATTATAATAGTACGCCGCTCTACCGCCGAGTCGTCTATAAGGAAGAAGATTGCTATCTAACTATAGTCGTTTAGATTAGTAGCATCGACCGTCTAGGCTTGTATTTGCTTTAGCGCCGCGGCGACAATATCACCGTCGTTAGTCTTCGCAAGGAAGAACGCGACCTATCGTAGAGAGCCGTGTTTGTCGCGTACTATAAGGGTATAGAGCTGCTAGCCTAGATAGTTAGAATTATGCGTCGCGTCTATCTATACTAAAACACGACTACGTAAAATTCCTAAGCTATGTTTTAATGCAAATACGAGTATAGTAGTATCCTCGCCGTCGATCTGTCTTTTTACGTACACTTTAGCGCAAAAGAAGCCTTCTATTTAGCAGTATTAGCACGTTGTTTGTATAATTAAAACAATAGAATTCTAGGAATTCTAGGAATTCCGGGGTTCGGGGATTTGAGCGGGGTTTGCCGACGGGCTAATCCGTATAAAGCGGAGATCCGTAGTTAGCTAAAATCGTGCCTCGGCTATACGGAAGCTCCCGATTTCGAACTTCGAGTAGTAAACAATACTAACTTAGCAATATAAACATACCTTCTTCGAGCTATTTCCGATACTCCGCTATCTGTTACTCCTATATTAACGTGCTTCTACTAAGCCTGCTATTCTTAAACACTTTGCGGTACTGTCGGCCGCAGTTAATAACGTCGTCGCGCGATATCTGCTCGCCGCCGGCGGCTTAGAAGGTCTCGTACGCGACTTTGCAGTCCTTGCTACGTATTCGATCCTATACTTAGTACGGCCGCTAGCTAGTACACACCTACTAACTAACCGCGTTCTAAAGAGCGCTATATAGGCGATATATATCCATTTTTTATAGGCAATAGCCCGGATAGTGCTCGACTAGGCGCCGATTGTTGCGGAAGATAGTATAGCTAACTACTACGCGATTGCTGTCCGGTTTATCTTTATTCTCGAGCGCTATATTCTTATTAACGCGTATAGTTAGCGGATACGCTACGGCTTCTTCTATCTTCTTTTCCTTCTTCTTCTTATATCTACTATAGTGCTTCTACCTCTGCTAATGCGCTTTAAAGCCAAATCGACACTTATATAATATATACTAGCGACTAAGTTTATCCGCTCGGCGCGCTATATATACCTAGAAGTTGTTAATATATAGCTAAATTACATTAAACTCCGCCGCTGTTACGGTAAAGCCCTTCTCGCTATTATTATTATTAGGGTCGTCTAGAACAGCTAACTACTTCTTACGTAGCGCTCTTAGATTAGTAGGCGCGCGTAGAATAGTATGTCTATCTTCGACAACCGTTACTTTAATACGCTTTCCGCGGCGACGAGGTATCGGCGCGCTATCGACTTTACTACTACCGCCGTTACTATCGACCTTACTACTACCGCTATTACTACCTTCCTCGTCGCGTTCTTTAGCGCCTTCTTTACTACGGCCGCTATCCTTACTATCCTCTAACGCCTAGTCCTTATTACTAGTATTTAGTAACTAAACACGCTCGACCGGAGGAGGCTTCGACGCGTTACGGTTGTTAACAAGATAGTCGATAATATCGTCGCGTTCCGCCGAATTTAATAGGCTCGAAATAGATAGCCGCTCGGTCGTAGAAGCAACGATTAACGCGACTCTCGCAGTGCTAGGCGGCGGCGGCGGCGACAACAAGGTCTCGGAAGCTATAATATAATAGAGATGGTGCTATTTTAATAAGAGCGAGTGAATACAAGGCGGCGACAACAATACCTCCTACAAAGCGTATACTACTGCGAGCGATAGCAAGGGCGACAACATAGGAAACAACAAACAAACGCGTCTACGCGCCGGACGGCCACGGCAGTGGAAACCACCGCTCCGTGTCTTGGTCAGCGATGTTCTATTTCGGGTTGACCCAGGGTGGCTGACTGCTAGCGCTTTAGGTATTATACTGGCAGGCTCATGCGAAGGTCTGAGGCTGATGCTGCATGCACCTGTTGCTGCCGGTGCCTCTGCACGACTCATTGACTAGCATAACGCAATGCACATGCATGCATATGCAAGCCACACCTTCCATGCTTTCGGAACGTTCTCTAAAAGCAACCAGGTCGATTATCAACCGGGTTGGAATTCTTATGCATATTATGCATAGAGACCCAACGACACTGCATTGGATATGTCGGCGGACCTGTCATATGAATGGCACGTTAGAGCTTCTGGACCGGCCATGGGTTTGATGGCCGTTCACTCTCTCAGGAGGATGGTCACAGAAGTCACCGGTAATTACTGATGCCAAAGTGCAGAGTACATGTAGCTCATTCGAGCAGCAGTCCGCTGATTGCGATCCTTTGAGACCATGTTGTGGCGTCGAAGCTGTTATGTCAGCTTCAACGTTGGCTTAGATTTGTCCAGGTGATCCGAGCTGGCCAAGACCAATTTGCAGAAACATTTTCATCGATCACTCTATCCATTCGGACTTCCGGGTCACAAAGGCTCGATTTAAAGGACCAAATCGTCATTGCTCAAGGTGAGGAAATGTAGAGTGGTCTTTCCGGATAAATGGTTCTGGCGGCGAAGCATCGTTCCCCAATTCAATACTGTGCATTCTACATCTATTGTTTCTGCAGGCCGCGCCTTAAGAGGAGATGGAAAGATGAGGCGAAGTCGAGTGCCATACTTGAGCGAGATGTGGCAGATTTGCATGGCATTATAATGCCGACTCAAGTTGTAGTGACTGAAGTGACATGACCTCAATATCGACTGCTCCAGGAAAGTGAGTTCTTTATCGAACACTGCGTTCGTAGCCATGGAACGCTACCCCAGAAATTGACTTGAAGGCTTAGACTTTATGCTCAGACGAGAAATTGGACAGCTCGACGAGAGTCTTCGCTATTGACATCAAGCGAGCAAGGGCCCACTGCTCTCAATTTCAATCAGACACATTTTTGTTGGACCAGTCATAGGTTGACGTCGTTCACTTGCCCTATCCTCGTGCTTAAGGTATTGGAGATTATTATGCAGTCTGCGGTCTTCACATGTTGCAGTCGATCTGATGACCAAGACACGCGAAAGAATTGCACCAGAGACTGGGTCATGAAGAAGCTCCGTGATCCAGGGATCAATTCGAACTTCGCAGCTCACAGCTTCCAGTCTTGATGCTGCAGCTGATGTTCTGCTCGGCGGTCGCATCGAGAATCGTAGGCACGAAACGATAGTACAGCGCCAATCACTACACTCGTAGGAACTTTATGGCACGTGTTCGCGGGCGAAAGACCTCGAAGCAGCTGTCACATGCCAGAGCTTGGCGTTTGCTGGCGGAAAGGCTCGCAGGGTCCTTGCTTTGTCTGCAGCTCAAAAGGTTCACCGCGCACCATCAATCTGTCGCACCAGCAGTCTTGAGCTTGAGAGCAGGCCTGCAACGCCACCATGGCTTCAGATGACACTCAGATGGACCAAGCAATGGCCATGACTTCTCAAGCCGCCATCTCAATTGACTTGGCTCGAAAGGCCGCCATGCCTGCCTCGTCCCCAAATGCATCCACTCCCAGGAAGAATAAACGACGTGCCCACGCCGATCCAGAAGGCGCCTACACTCCATCCAAGCGAGCCTCACTGAGCAAGCCCATGCAGACGAGCACGCCAAGACGCAGGAAAGGCGCTGGACTGAGCGACACCTACGCCGCCAAGCTGGACGACTCCGAAGACGAGGATTACAAGGCGCCAGGGAATATTTCTCGCACTCCACGTGCCACACGGCGCCCGAGACGCGGGACCAGATCTTCAACTCGTCGAACATTCGGCATTGCTCCAGACGCCGGAGCAGACTCAGACGTCGACCCATTTATCAGCAACTCCGACTCGCAAAGGCGCATGTGCGTCACGAACTGCAATCGCTGGGACGAGGAGGAAATGCTGACATGCGCTGGAAAAGCTTGTCAGGAGGCTGAGAGAAAATTTCACATCCAATGCGTGGGATTTCGGAATATGCCATGGATGCTGATGAATGGCGATGAGGGCGTCAAGTGGTATTGCTTCGATTGCAGGAGGGAAAATGGGGTCGGTTGGAAGATGAACGGGATTGCTGTCGATGGGGAGGAGCTTCTCGTTTAACCATCACATCACGCCTCATCTGCAGGCAGCTTCATCTTCGTACATGCTATGCTCATACCTTGATGCTCACAACCGAAGGGTATCATTTCCCAAGAGATTTGTGTGCGCCATCGCCATCGCCATCGCCATCGCCACGCCAAATGCTCGCTCGCTGAATAGGGGTATGCCGTCGTCAGCACACAATCTTGAATTGCGACAAGTGCGATGCGCCATTGCCATTGCCATTGCCATTGCCATTGCCATCGCCGTGCATCGTGATGGTGGTGGTGGTGGTGGCGTGCAGGCCGCGAGTCTTATCCGCTGCGCGCAGTGCGTGCGCTGTTGCGCTGTTGCGCTGGGATCGTGACTTCCACTCCGCGCTTGGCAGCCTGACGTTGAGAGTCTCGCCAATCTCGGCTTCAATCTTCTTGCCGAGTATGCTCATCTGCAATTCCCACCTCCATCGGATCTTCCCGCCCTTCTCACTCTTGCTTTCGTCGAGCCCGCTCAGCTCGCTTGTAAAGCCTCGCTCCTGCTCCAGCTCTTCCCTACGCTGCTGCCTCTTCAACTCCTGCACTTCACGCTCCTGCCTCTGCGCTCGCAGTCGCAGCCGCCGCCCTTGCTCTCCTCGCAAGACGTTGATGGCACTCTCATGCTTGGCGTCCATCTGACTCCATGCCCGCCGCGCTTTGTCAAGCTCGGCGCGGTCGTGCTCTGTGATTGTCCTGTTGTGCGGCTCTCCATTGCTGTACGTGCCACCACAGAAAGCTTCCATATGCCTGAGAGCAGTCGCAGTGTCCTGTCGCTCCTTGACATGGTATTCGCGCATGTCGCATTCTGCCTTCACCTGCTTGTCTTCGGCTTCAGCCACTGCCGACGCATGTCCTTCCAACAGATCTTCCACCGCCGCTTCGTGCTGCGTCTTCATGGCGTCTCGTAACTGCTCGTGCCTAGCCTGCGCCTCTGATAGCTGCTTGTCTGCCCACGCGAGAAATCGATCCCTTTGCTCCGCCTGCCCTGTACGCAGCAGCTTGCAGTCTTCCCTCTCCATCAGCTTTTCCAGCTCATGTCGTGCCTCCAAGGACAATTGATCAAGTCGTGATTCTTCGGATCCCGTGCGACTACGCCTCGTGGGCACACCTGGTCGTTGTGGTAAATGCGAGTCTCGTCTACACTCTCTCCTTGAACTGCTGATGGATGGTGCAAGCGATATCGCCTCATCCCACTGTTCCAGCTTTTCCAAAAGCGCATTTTGCTCTTCTTGTGTCATGACGTGCTCCACCAATGCTCCAGGTATTGGCCTGCCGCAGCAGCTCGGCACGGCACCTTGGGCCTTCTCTGTAGCAGCTTTCACTGTATTTCGGAGTGCTTGCGTGCATAAGCGATGACCACACGGCAGCTTATGAACCGCTCTTCGTGCACTCTGAAAATCTTGTGGGCAGTGCGGACAGCCGTCGACAAGCGATTGAACAGAGTCTGATCGATGCAGTCTGAGCATGCTCAGTCCTCGAATGCGACGGAAGTGCTTCTTGGGCGAAGAAAATGGCGAGGGTGGTGAGGAGAGCGGTAAGGAGAATGTCGAGTATGAAGGCGTCGAAGGCGGCGAAAAGCAAATGGAATTTCTCCCGTTCGGTACACCTTTTGACATGAATGCATCGTAGTCGCGGAAGGATAATGAGGCTCGTGATCGACGCCGTTCGGCTGCCATCCGATTATGGTCCTTGGAGAGGTCGGAGTAGGTCGAAGTCATACCGGTGGAGCGCGAGGTGTGAGAGTGCACAGATTCCGAGCGCTGGCACTGTTCGACCCAATGTGTTCTCCAATGTCTTTGATCCGACACATGTTGCGACTCTACATCCACGCCCAATTCGTTTGCCTCGGTCCTGAGCTTTTCATCTAGCTGGTCTTCTGTCTCGCCATCTGCTATGTTCAGCACTTCCAGCAAATAGGACAGGTCGTGTCCCGTCATCGTCCCGCATTATTGTAGGTATCGGCCGTGAGGTGGTAGCATGAGATGGTAAGGTGCTTGCGGCGCTCGCAAGTATAGAAGATGCTTGGAAGATGGTTGTGCGTTGTGTGTTGACTGTTGCACAACTGGCGGTGGTATTTGCAAAACAAAACGCAACGCCTCCTTCGGTGTTTCACCTGGCCTGGGCAGGAGAGCGACACAAAGCAGGCTTTGAGGCGCAAGCACAGCGTCGACGAGAGGAGTAGGACGACAAGGGACGTGACGTTGTGCACGCGCAGTGCTGTATAGATACGAAGTGAAGGAGTAGTATGAGCGAAGTGGTGCAACAGACGAAGGATAAGGTGGGATCCGTGTCACAGGGACTTTCTTGGGCGGCCAGGGCGCAGGAGGAGGCTGGAGCAGAAGTCAGGCAAGACGCACATTCGCCTCTTTCGTACCGTTCAGGAATGGTATCATATGGCAAACGCATTTTTCTGTAGACAGCGGAATGCACACCGTCCTTCCTTCCAATATTCTACTGCAATGTAGACCATGTCGCATCGCATCATCGTGACTTGGGAGGCCTGCTGCGCTGCACTTGCCCTGTCCTGTCCGCGGATGACATGTCATAAACCCTTGCTATTACCGCCGCGGTCCAAGTAGATCAACCTAAGAAGTAAATTTCAGGTAGCTCTAGGGCACTTCGAAGGTTCCGTACGACCCTGCAAAGTGCCCTAGAACCACGTAAATTAGTGTACAAATTGGGGTACTGCAAACCCCCCCTGTGTAACCTAATTACCTCGGATTTCTAACGTTCTAAACAGCCGTATTCGCTCGAAAACGACTAAGTCTACGCCTACACTTAGGCACACTACTATACTCGCTTAGAAGCGATAGTGTCCTCTTAAATACGTCATTTTAGTAGCTATCTTAGTATAGGAGACGGCTTACGAGAGGATTAATCCGTACTAGGCGGTAAGTAAGGTATAACTATATATAATCTTCTATAGGCGCGTTTCGAAGGCGATACTACGTTATTAAGTAAAGGCTTCTAACGACGATAAGGCTTATAAGAGCTACCTAATAGCTGTAGTAGATCGAGTAAAGTGTCCTTATTAGTATATAATAGCAATAGCGATAAATATTAAGCTAAATGCCTTAATATCTCGTCGTTATTATATTAGACACTTTTACTAGCGTCGTTTAACGAAGATAGCGGCAATCGACTTAACTTAGTTAGAGCCGGAGTTAAGTAAAGAAGCAGTGCTAAGTTAGATAGGCCTTCGAAGAAGTCCTTACTATTACTCTTATATAGCGCGTCTTCGTTACTATCGATAGTAATAATGCTATTACTATTAGGTAGACCGTAGACCGTTAAGGCATAGCCGTCGACAATAATACGAGGCCTATATAGCAGGGCCCTTAATAGCTCTAAGTTAGTTATAGAGGTAGCTAATAAGGGTAGAGTTAGTAATAGAGCCGTACGGAAGATAGGTTATTATAACGGCTTATCGTCGACCTATCGCTACTTAGCTTTACGACGAGGTGTCAATTTGGCCTACTTAGCGCTATTATTAAGCTACTATTGCATGTCGGCCTTTATAGCGGTCTAGTTGCTAGTTATATAGTTAGTAACCTACTATAGAAGGGCCTTATATTGCTAAGTGTCGGTAAGGCCGGAATATTACGAGTCGTAAAAGCGGAAGAAGGACTATATAACTGCCTCTTATATAGAATAGAAGTAGTCCTTTACCTAGCGCTTCTAAGACACTCTTAGAGCCTTATAAACGTTAACAACCTATACTAACTAATTATCTTTAATAATAAGCTTAGTATTATACTATTTAGGGTAGACGAGGTTACTATTTAGTCCTTAGAAGCGACTAATATAGAGCCTATAACGGTATAGAGTAAGGCGACTGTTCCCTTGCTTATAAAAGCGCTAGATATGCTTACAAGGCAGGTAATAGCTATACTAGAAGTAGTAGAAGCACTTAGTGCATACATCGTCGTATAGAGCCGGCAGAGCTATCCGCTAGGTAGGCTTATAGTTATTAATATCGTTGTAGCACTATATAAGCTTATCTGCTATCTTCTTCTATACTAAGAGAGGTAATTGTCGGAAAGCTAGAGTCTGTTCTTCTCGCTATATTAGAAGCTACCTATTCTTGTTAACTACGCTATTTTAACGGACGCGCTCGCGGATATAGTTATTAAGCTAAACTAGGTGCAGCACCGTACCTACAATAGTTAGTTGTTATTATATAAAGAAGCTATAAAGTCGTAGAAGAGTAAGAAGATTACTAAGCGCAGCCGTAACCGAGAATTTCGGCCGTTCTAAGAACTGTAGGAAGAACGGCTTTTATATAAAATTCCGCTAGTACTATAAGAAGGGGACGAATACGCACCTCGTAAGCTCTATTTGCGCATCTAACGCTTGTCTCGGCGCTTTAGGTGTGTATAATATCCCTCTAGTAGGTTAGTTGTGCGAACCGCTATTAAAAGCGGGTCTCCGAGCCGTACCTAAGTCGCCTATCGATCGCTCTCGGAAGCCTTCTAGTTGGTCCGTAAATAGGCCAATTTCTCGCTCGAATAGACAGTGTTATAGCTCTTTAGGTCGGCCTCTACAATAGCAACAAAGTGCTAGCATTCTTCTTAGTCTCTAGCAATAAATAGTGCTTTGTTTATTGCCTTAAAGGTAACTAGAAAGCGCTTAAAGTGCTTCTCGAGGGTCTTAACGAGGTATCGTTAGTAGAGGCGTTAAACGATACTATAGTTAGATAGGGCTTAAACAACCCCTAGTTACTTACTCGCTAAGTCGTTAGTAATTAACTATAGGGGTATCCATTCCGACTACTCGGTCTAGTTCAAACAATCTTAATCTTTAGCTTTAGAAGACATACCGTTGTTAAAGTAATAGTGCTTCCTATAACCGTCGTATTCGCTAACTTTGCAATACTAGTCGAATTTAGCTATTTCTCGAAGCCTAGAGATAGCTATTTCAATTAGGTATGCCTATTCGCAATCTATAAGGAAATAAGCCGCTAGCAACTACTCGAGATAATTATTGCGTACGTAGATTGTCGATAATAGCTATTTAAGCTTGTTTATATAATAGGTTGAGTCTAGTAAGAACAAAGAACTATAGTTGCGAAGGGCTCGGAGTTGCTAGTCCGCTGCCTAAACAAGGCCTCTATATAGCTTTCTATCGCTTCTACGAGACTCAATTATCTCGATATAACCGCTTCCGCTACTGAATTTGGCCTTTAAGTACTCGTACGCCTACTTTAGTTGCTTACTAACTGCTAATCTAGCACCCTCTCTTCGCTTGTTACTTAGTCGTTTAAGGGCATCTCGATTCTCGCTGCTAATACGGTCTCGAGTAATATTAACGGCTCTAGCATTATACTAAATTTGGCGCTGTTTAGGCCTTCTTATTTTATTAACTAACTAAGCGATAGTTACTAGAAATTGGTTAGTACTACTAAGCGTATAAAGTGCTAAGAACTTACTTACCGGCTCGAGAATTAATTAGATCCTTCTATACGGCCTTTACGCTATTATTAACCTTTAAACTATCGACAAACTCGAGACTGTACGAGTAATACTAACTAAGCGGCTTTAGAAGCACGTAAACCGGCCTTATAACCGTTATATTCGCAGGTAGAGCCTTCGGCACGCAATTGTCGAGATACTCGCCTAATTCGATATTAGGTCGCTTCTCGTAGACCTTAATAATCGTCAATTTCGCTATATAGTCGTATTCTAGCAGTGTATGCGCGACACGCTTCCGCCGCGCCTTCCTACGTTGCTTACTAATAATAACACCCTCCGAAATGCGATCTGCGCGGTTATAGTCTATATAGCGCTTATAGACACGACATTCGAGGCCGAGTCGTCGATAATATCGCCCTTCCGAGTTAATAGATAGCTTCTTCGGTCGGTTCTTATAGTACTATATATTCGATACGAAATAGCGATATTCGTCGTATTCGAAGCCTTCTATTCGCACACCCTTACTACCGGTAGGGTAGAAGAACAGGCGCCTTCGATTATATATATTTAGTAGAAACGGGCTCTTAAACTACAATATTTAGCATTATATCGACCTTACGAGCGACATATATACATACCGGCCGCTCTACCTCGAGCTTAGTAAGCAACGCTTCTATATCCTTAGAAGGGAGGTGTTTCTTATACATCGTAAAGAGCGTAGGATTTAGCGATAGTAAGGTCGAAACAAGCGTAACACGTAACCGCGAGGAAGAGGTAGAATAGGTCGATAAACAAGAGGTAGAAATAGCCTCTAGATAAGGTCTAGTTTAGCTTTATTCTGACTCCTTATTTACAGGCCTGTGCTGTGCGATTACAAGGCTTCAAATCGGCTCGAGATTAGACCTCTTAGCGGTCCATATATGGCCTATAAACAACTATAGAAGTAGTTAAGCGGCCTTGCAAACCTAGCCGCTATAGCAGCGCGATCTACACCCTTATATAGGTTAATATACTTACACCTTTACCGCCGCATCGAAATTACATATACAGCGTCTTTGCGCATCGGAAGGCTATTTCTTAGCGAATTTGCTAATTTTACGCCCTCTGCTAGGTTATACGCTTTGCCTAACAAAACTTAGTATACAGATATACTAGGAGCTAATAGAAGTAGGCGGTTAGAACGTTAGTCGACTGTAGGTAGATTAGTAACTCTTAGGGTTAAGAAGGAGGCATAACTCGAGGCCGTATAGAAGGCTCAATTTAACGACTATAGAAGTAGACTATAGATAACAAAGTAGACTCTATCTATTTACTAACGAGTATAGCCGCTATTAGTATTAATAACGGCTTAGTAGCGCTTAGGCATACTATTAACCTATACTCGTATCTACTAGAGTATAAACTTGTTATATTCTTCGAGGATTGCTAGTAATAGCTCGCGGCTAACTAGCCTATCTCTACGTCGTTTAATAGCTTCTTTTATAGTACGCTAGAGGTTCTTAATAGGGTTCAAATTAGGTAAAGAA